ACTTTTCCCGCCTTTTTGGTGAGAAAAAATTTTACAGGCTGGCTGGAATTTTTTTTGGTTGCAATGGAAACAAATTTCATAACCAATGGAAAAAAAAATTTCACTTTAATGGACAATTTTCATATAAAACAAAATCAAACGAATACTAAACTTTGATAAAAAAAATGATTTTTTAAAAAACAATTTTTTTCCCCTTTTTTTTTAACTTTTTGGCAATGGAAACAAATTTTATAACCAATTGTGGAAAAAAATATCACTTTAATTGATAATTTCTATGTAAAACAAAGCCAAACGAATAGAAAATTTAAAAATTTTCCGGATGGAAAATTATACCAATCAAACACACTTGAAATCATTTTCCCTACAAAATATTTTCTAGGCAAATATTTTCCTTGTAAAATATTTTCTTTCCACCCATTTTCCACCCTAGCAATCAAACGCACCCTTATATTTTTTCCCCTCTTTATGTACCCCATTTATCCCATTCTCTTTTACATTTGTTAGTTTTTTGGGTTTGTCTCTATAATTTAAGGCTATGTTTGATAGCCATGGTTTTCCATGGAAAATGGAATTCCATTTTTCATTTTTTGGCTTGTTTTATAATCATTTTTTGTCATGGAAATTTTTTTATTACTTTACTCCACGCGTGCACATTTTCATGGAAATTGTGGAATTAGTTTTCCTACCATTATTGTGGGAAAATGGAGTTTTAGCTCTTTTTTTTTTGGCAATTAGAACCAATTATAAAAAAAAAATCATTTTAATGGACAATTTCTATGTAAAACAAAGTCAAACGAACACTAAATTTTGATTAAAAAATGATTTTTTTGGAAATATATATATATTTTTTACTTTTTGACAATGGAAACGAATTTTATAACCAATTGTAGAAAAAATTATCACTTTAATAGATAATTTCCATGTAAAATAAAGTTAAACGAATATAAAAAGATCAAAAAAATTTCGGGTGGAAAATTATATCATTCAAACACACTTAATTAAAAATTATTTGAAAAATAAATTCTAAACAATTATTTTATCTTAAATTCATTTTCTTTCCACCTATTTTTCACAATTGTAATCAAACAAATTCTTAATTCCCAAATTTCTCTCAAAAAGGATATTTTTTCCCCCTCAAGTACACCACACCCAACCCATTGCTGTGTCTGGCAAAACCCCTTCAACCTGTCTTTATCTGTTTGTGTCTTGCTGCCGTGCCAATGGCGGAAAAACTAGCTCTCCCTCTTCTCCTCCCTAGCCCGCCACCTTCAAAACCCTTCTTCCAAGAGCCCCACCCCACCCCCACTACCCCTGCACCTCCTCTCTTAACCCCTCTCCTCCATGATTGCCTCCACCAACGCCAAACCGCCTACACCTCCTCCACTTCTGCTGAACCCCAAAATCCCCCCTCTTTTATCCACCGTACACGCCGCCGAATTGGAAAACACCGTGACCCCAACAAGGGCAAGCCATGGTCTCACAACCGCCTTTCACCTCAAGGTGATTTCATTCTTCAATCTCTTAGTGACCCACAGTTCAACATTGAGAAACTCGAGGAAATATTGCTGAATTTATTTAACTTGTGTGATGAAGAAATGGGTTCTTCGGAATCGCTTATAGAAACAATTTGTTTTGATGTTTTGGGTATAATTAAGGCTCTGGGGTATTACAAGAAATACGACCTGGCTCTGAAAGTGTTTGAATGGATAAGAAATCGTCCGGATTCGGATAAGTTGGTTAATGGGTCTGTTGTGGCTGTGATTATAAGCATGTTGGGGAAAGAAGGCCAGGTTTCGGCGGCTGCGTCTTTGTTTCATAATTTGCATAAAGATGGATTTGGGATTGATGTTTACGCATATACTTCCTTGATAGCAGTTTTTGCTAGCAACAGGAGGTATAGGGAGGCAGTGATGGTTTTCAAGAAAATGGAGGAAGAGGGATGCAAACCTACTTTGATTACTTACAATGTTATTTTGAATGTATATGGGAAAATGGGTATGCCTTGGAATAAGATCATGACGGTTTTCAATGGTATGAAGAGCTCGGGTGTTGTCCCGGATGCTTATACATATAATACTATTATAAGTTCTTGTCGGCGGGGGTCTTTGTATGAGGAAGCGAAAGGAATTTTTGAGGAGATGAAATCAGGGGGATATGTTCCGGATAAGGTTACATATAATGCATTGTTGGATGTTTACGGAAAGTCCAGGAGGCCTAATGAGGCCATGGATGTTTTGAGGGAGATGGAGGTTAATGGATTTTCACCCAGCATTGTGACTTACAATTCCTTGATATCTGCTCATGCTAGGGATGGTTTGTTGGAGGTAGCGATGGAGCTTAAATCTCAGATGATTGAGAAAGGAATTAAGCCTGATGTTTTTACTTATACGACTCTGTTGTCAGGATTTGAGAAAGCCGGGAAGGATGAATCTGCAATGAAGGTTTTTGAGGAAATGAGAAATGCAGGTTGTAACCCAAATATGTGTACTTTTAACGCACTAATCAAGATGTATGGCAACAGGGGGAAGTTCACAGAAATGATGAAGATATTTGATGACATAAAGGCATGTGGATGCACACCAGATATTGTTACTTGGAATACCCTTCTGGCTGTGTTTGGGCAGAATGGGATGGATACCGAAGTCTTTGGTGTATTTAGGGAAATGAAAAGATCAGGTTTTGTAGCTGAGAGAGACACTTTCAACACCTTAATCAGCGCTTACAGCAGGTGTGGATCTTTTGATCAAGCCATGGCTATTTATAAGAGAATGTTGGAAGCCGGGGTCATTCCAGACCTTTCCACTTATAATGCTGTTTTAGCAGCTCTGGCAAGGGGAGGGCTATGGGAACAGTCAGAGAAAGTGTTTGCTGAAATGAAGGATTGTCGGTGTAAACCAAATGAGCTGACTTATAGCTCCTTGCTTCATTCATATGCTAATGGGAAACAAATCGAGAAAATACACGCTCTTTCTGAAGTCATATATTCTGGCAAAATTGAACCACGTGCTGTGCTTTTAAAAACTCTTGTTCTTGTATATAGTAAAATTGATCTTCTAATGGAAACAGAGCGAGCTTTCCTAGAGCTAAAAAGAAGAGGTTCCTTTCCAGATATAACTACTCTCAATGCAATGGTTTCCATATATGGCAGGAGGCAAATGGTTGACAAGGCAAATGATATTCTGAGCTTCATCAACAAGAGTGGGTTCACACCTAGTTTGACAACTTACAATAGTTTGATGTACATGTACAGCCGATCAGGAAATTATGAAAGATCCGAAGAAATATTGAGGGATCTTTTGTCGAAAGGAATGAAGCCAGATGTCATTTCATTCAACACTGTGATATATGCTTATTGCAGAAATGGCAGAATGAAGGATGCCTCGCGAGTTCTCCAGGAAATGAAGGAATCTGGTATTGTTCCTGATGTTATCACGTACAATACTTTTGTTGCAAGTTATGCTGCTGATTCAATGTTCGTGGAGGCTGTAGATGTGATTCGATACATGATCAAGAATGGCTGCAAACCGAATGAGAGCACATACAACTCCATTGTAGATTGGTTCTGTAAGCTTAATAGGAGCGATGAAGCAATGATGTTCGTAACTAACCTTCACAAGCTCAATCCCCATGTTTCGAAGGAGGAAGAAAACAGATTATACGAACGATTGAGGATGAAATGACTGCAGTATTATTATACATTTTTTCTAGGAGTCATCCCAAGATTTCGCAGCAAGTGATCATCAAGCTTCTGTATGTAGAGGTTTTGGAGCCGTGTACTTGTTTTTGTTACCAATGGGATTGAGTCTTGACAAACGCAAAGCAGAACTGGGACAACAAAATATTAGGGTATGTACAACCACCTTTGTACCAAGTAAATAGGAAGTTTTTATAATAGTACTACAGGCATATTATTTTGCTTTGATTCTGTTTCATTTATAATTTCAATTACGAATGATTTTGCTTGGAAGTGACTGCTATGAACCGGTCTAAACGGTTTCGGGGTTACTTTCCAATGCGCCCCGTTCTCCGGGTCTTTGACTGGGTCCCTTGTCCACTGATCCGCTGGTTTAACCCGGACCAGGGTTTAGGCTGTTGGTTTTCAACTATGGTTTTATCTGTCTATTTCTTGCAACATAACAATGATTTGTGCATGGGAAAAATATATAATTATCATACATTCAAGCTATGCTTTTAAATTTAATGAACTTTTATAAAATCTTTCAAAAATCAAGTATTTACATTTTGTGACATCTGATAAAATTTTGTAGCCTATATTTAATCGAACATATCGCGTGTTCACAATAAACACATAATTTATGGTTACAGACTCACAGTCACATACTAGTTACAAGTCATACAATGTTACAATTATGAAAACACAATCATGTATTTTAGTCACAAATCACCATAATTAATAGTTCGCCAATTATTTATTAATCATAAATTGTCCAACTGATCACAATTACCCAATTAATTAGCCACAATCACTTTTTATTCCACACTTGCTCCACTCCATCCCATACCACTCCACCACCTGAATCGTTGTTACAACATCAAATTCACAACTCATCACTATCACCACCTGCACCTCAAATCCACCTCCACCTCCACCTCCAACGCATCATTACACCTTCTACAATCCTTAAAATTTCCATCGCTAGGAGCAATTGCAGCAGTCCAGAACGAAAACCTCTCTCTTTCACGCACACGCACACAATTGTAGACGTTCCTCCCTTAGCTTAACCCAACGAACTAACTAAATCCGCCACCGCCGCGTGTCATTCGTCACCACCAAACCTAGTGTTCATCGACTACACCAACAAAAGCTAGTTGGAGTAGGATTGCAGTGTGCAAGTGATCTCGATACCGCCAAGTCTGCAGCCACAAATCAAGCGATGGTGGGTTGGGGTGAAGTCATGGTGGCCGGTGACTACAAGCAAGGCTGGGGGGGCACGGACAGTCGGATTACAATGTGTACGTAATTTCAACACCTCCAGATCTTCAACCACAAATAACAAGTGTTGGTGTAATACAGTAACTTCCTCTATGCATTCATCGAATATTGTTATAACGTAATTCCTCTCAATTTTTTGTTCTTCCGTCTAATTTTGGAGAAAATAATTATATACATTTGTGACCATTGTTGCTGTCTACTCTTTTCTAATCTCGCTATCCACAACAGTTACACAACGAAATCAACTGAAGAAAAAAAGAACACAAGTAACAAAGAGAAGAACACGACTCTTTTAACTATTATTAAAGTAANTCGAATACCCGTTCGGGTATTTCATGTTTAAAAACCTGCTCGATTCGGTTCGGTTCGGTTCAGACATTTTGCCCAGCCCTAAACATAACAATAGTTTGTGCATGGGAAAAATATATAATTATCATACATTCAAGCTATGCTTTTAAATTTAATGAACTTGATAAAATCTTTCAAAAATCAAGTATTTACATTTTGTGACATCTGATAAAATTTTGTAGCCTATATTTAATCGAACATATCACATGTTCACAATAAACACATAATTTATGGTTACAGACTCACAGTCACGTACTAGTTACAAGTCATACAATGTTACAATTACGAAAACACAATCATGTATTTTAGTCACAAATCACCATAATTAATAGTTCGCCAATTATTTATTAATTATAAATTGTCCAACTGATCACAGTTACCCAATTAATTAGCCACAATCACTTTTTATTCCACGCTTGCTCCACTCCACCCCACCCCATCCCACTCCACCACCTGAATCGTTGTTACAACATCAAATTCACAACTCATCACTATCACCACCTGCACCTCAAATCCACCTCCACCTCCACCTCCGACGCGTCATTACACCTTCTACAATCCTTAAAATTTCCATCGCTAGGAGCAATTGCATCAGTCCAGAACGAAAACCTCTCTCTTTCACGCACACAATTGTAGACGTTCCTCCCTTAGCTTAACCCAACGAACTCACTAAATCCGCCACCGCCGCGTGTCGTTCTTCACCACCAAACCTAGTGTTCATCGACTACACCAACAAAAGCTAGTTGGAGTAGGATTGCAGTGTGCAAGTGATCTCGATACCTCCAAGTCTGCAGCCACAAATCAAGCGATGGCGGGTTGGGGTGAAGTCATGGTGGCGGGTGACTACAAGCAAGGCTGTGGGGGCACGGACAGTCGGATTACAATGTGTAGGTAATTTCAACACCTCCAGATCTTCAACCACAAATAACTAGCGTTGGTGTAATACAGTAACTTCCTCTATGCATTCATCGAATATTGTTATAACGTAATTCCTCTCAATTTTTTGTTCTTCCGTCTAATTTTGGAGAAAATAATTATATACATTTGTGATCAATATTCTCGATGACAATCCTAAATGGATAAAATTTCATTTATTGTTGCTGTCTACTCTTTTCTAATCTCGCTATCCACAACAGTTACACAACGAAATCAACTGAAGAAAAATAGAACACAAGTAAATATCAACCAATTACTGTCAGTAACAAAGAGAAGAACACAACTCTTTTAACTATTATTAAAGTAANTTACACAACGAAATCAACTGAAGAAAAATAGAACACAAGTAAATATCAACCAATTACTGTCAGTAACAAAGAGAAGATCACAACTCTTTTAACTATTATTAAAGTAAACGTAAAAGTGAAAACTTTTCATGAGCATGGCACAGCTATTACCATCACCACATGACTATTACGCTCTTGAGAAAAAAAATGCCACCCAAAAATTGAAGTAGCGAACTTTTGGGCGAGAGCCAATGTCACCTGCATTATGATCCGGGAAGTTTCAAAACATGAGAATCCAAATTGTGTTGCCCGCAAAAGTATAAGATAGATTAAAGATATTGAAATCCGCAGTCATTACAAGCATTTTGTTTTCAACCCTACAGATGGATCAAAAATCAGAACTACTCATCCATTTCAGACAATGAATAGAGTGTTCTTCATGTAGGCATGTTGAGACTAGTCTATAAAGGAAAGCATCACTAATGTTCACTAGCTTTTCCACTAAGAGTAATACCATCAATCAAACTTGAACCTTGTATACAAAACAACTGCTTCCCATGCATGATGTAGAGTCGTTCGCCTGAATCTGAAATATGGTTATTTAAGAAAGTGAGGATTAAGCAAACCAGCAATCTCAAGGAACCCAACACGATCCCTTCCTCCAAAAATTTGCTTCAGCTTCTCATCACAGATAATGACTTTCTTATCAGCAGGATCCTAATAGTGAGGCATAGACTGTGTCAGTT